GAAATTGGGTGTTTGGGGTAGAACCTAGGTTTTTTAAAAATTGGGGATTTGGAACTTGATTTGAGGTCCGATTTCAAAACAAATTATATATTTGGATTCGCGGGGGGAATGGGGTAATCGGGTTTTGGTTCGAACCTCGGGTTTTGACCATGTGGGCCCGGGGGCGATTTTTGACTTTGGGTTAAACTTTAGGAAACTCATTTTCATGCATTAGAATTGATTCATTTAGCGTTTATTGATGTAATTAAGTAACTTGTGGCTAGATACGAGCGGATTGGTGGTGGAATCAAGGGGTAAAGCGATAATTGAGACGTGAATTGTGTTCGTGGCATCGAGGTAAGTGTTTAGTCTAACCTTAGCTTTAGGTATTAGGAGTTTGAGTCCTATTTTGCTATGTGATAATAGTTGAGTACGACGTATAGGCATGGTGACGAGTATCTATACGTTGGTGTCAAGCATGCCCGTGAGTCTTATATTGTGGTTATCATGACCTCGTTGTATTATTCATGCTTTGGCGATGATTTTCTATTTGTTGTGAAAAAGTTTTGTGGTAAGGGATTATGACCCTTGAACATTGTAGGAGCGTTGGCTTGANATGGAGGGCTCAAAGCCAAAACGGGAGGATAACTATCTAAAATGGGGAGACCCCTAAAGGAGCGGAAGCGGCCCTATATATATATATATATATATGAAAAAACGGCATCGTCACCAATCCCGAGGTGGTACCCGACCTCGAGGACCTCCATCAAAAAGAAGTTAGGCTTTAAGAAGCCAACGACATCATCTCCAATCCCGAGGAGGTATCCGACCTCGAGGATCTCCATCAAAAAGAAGTTAGGCTTTAAGAAGCCAATGGCATAATCTCTAATCCCGAGGTGGTACCCGACCTCGAGGATCTCTATCAAAAAGAAGTTAGGATTTAAGAAGCCAACAGCATCATCCCCGGTCCCGAGATGGTACCCTATCTCGAAGGCTCCTCTCAAGAAGAAAAATAAGTGCTTCGAGCTCCGCCCATAAGGGTTCGACCTCAGGATATCGCCTAAGTCTGGTGACCCCTCCTCCGGGACCTATCTACAACGCCTTAAAGGTTATCTATATCAAATTCAAAGCAAGTTTCCAGGTACCCAAAGCTAACCCTCACTCAGAGACCGCTCTCGAAGATTTCATGGCTTGAGGTATTATTTTCATATGATCCAAGATAAAGTTCCCGACGGCCCGAGTCTATCGGACCAATTTAAGCTTGGTCCGAGGAACAACAAAGGGTTCTGAGAGATGCCGTTTTAACCGACCGAAGGCCAGAAAGAATACTCGCACCCGAGTTAGATATCGACGATAGTCAACAGAGGCATACATTTAGAGTCTCCATAAATGTAAAAGAATATGGAAAGCATCAGATACGAAAGCCGTGAAAATATCTTTATATTCAGAAAGTTTTTGTTACAACACAAAGGGTCCTTACATAAGATTACAAAAGCCCACAAGGGGTCCTTACACATAAACAAAGAAGCAAAGGGGTACACACCCATAGTAAAAGCCTAAAAACCCAGTCTACTCTTGAAGGTTCATCTCCGGTAGCAGCATCCCCGAGCGCCGCCTCCTCGAACATGCATCCTCGAAGGTGATACCTTCGACCGCCACCTTCTCTAGGTTCCCAGCTCGATCCATGGAATATTATCTCCGAGGGAGAAGATGAAGAAGAGGAAAGGGGAAGGATGCAGAAGAGGTAGAAAAAAGAGACAAAGACCGCCGAAGCCAAAGGTTGAAGATTCGGCGGGCACCAGCCTCAGCGGCCGGTTGTGCCATTTTATCCCTTGGGAAAAAACCCAAGGAATGAAGTGCCACACAGGGCCAAGGTAGGAGAGTGAACAACGGTGTATAGTCCGAATACTATCCCGAGCAGCGGTGTAGAGTCCAAACTTCCTTCTAGGTCAGAAGAAGTTGGCCGACCCTGTATCATCACCTCGAGCCAATAACAACAACAGTAACAGGCGTAACAATAGCAACAATAGCGACAAGACGGTATGATCTCGCTCGACAAGGGGAATCTCAGGCAAAAGGCGACCATACAGCTGATGAAAATGCTGCCATACAACCATAAAGTCGTGAACCCCAAACATGGTGGTTAGCAATGGAGGAAGATAATGAGAAGAAAGGAATGAATGAATGGAGGAAGGCACTTGGATAAAGAGAGAGTGCCGGAACGCCCCCATTTATAGGGGGTGATAACACGACCATCAATGCCTTTGAAAGACGAATCGGCAGGCGCAATCAATGCGTTCTTGAAAAATGAATCGACGACGGTACTGTCACATTGAAGAATGGGAATTGACAATGCATTGAATGACATCGAAAAGACAAGTTTATGGGGATGCCCCGGTTATCGTGAAGGTTGGCGTCATAAGCATTATGTCGTCCCTATGATATCGTCACAGGATGTTCGAAGAATCGGATGTCAAGGCCGTTTCTCATCGTTCCTCTCTAAGAAACGCGGGGACTATCTGTATATGGAAAAATCGGAGGGTCCAATTTCTTATCATTTAGATACTTCGGAAGATAACCTCGAAGGCTCGATGCCGCAGAACCGGTTCGAAGGCTCGAGGCCGTGGCCGAAATTTTCTCCTGGAGGGTCGATGATACTCGACCCCATGATAGCATTGATCATGATAAGTTATAAAAATGGGAGGTTCCCAAGACACGCAGCTAGGGATGAAACGGCCTGGCAGGTTACTCTGAACCCAAATCATGATAGTCAGTCGTCCCTAAAAGTAAAAGAGAGGGGGTGAATTGTAGCCTTTTTAAATTTCTAGTCGACAACTCCTCAGACCTAGTCGACTTATGCGGAGACAGCCTCCACAGAACTGTTAGTCCTTTCCATTTAAACAAGTGTTAATCATAATAAGCAGTAAAGGAACAGAATATAGTATAGAAGCGATAAAGTAAATGACACCAGGAATTTTATACTGGTTCGGAACCAATGTGGTATCCTAATCCAATCTCCTTGGGTTGCAAGGATGTTAACTCTTGAGGTCTTTGAACTTTGTGGTGAGTATACCATGTGTGATTTTCAACGTTCACCACCAACGTTTACAGGGTTGGTTTTTACTCGCTCACCAACGACGACACTTTGGTTTTCACTCGCTCACCAAAGAAAGGAACAATGACACAACCTCTCCGGACACACTGCCTCTCCAATTTTTCTATCTCTCTTCTCTCTTTTGTGTACACAGTAAATCTACTAAAGTGAATTACAATGCTTGTTAAGAGTAGAATGAAGAACATGTAGTTAGATAGACAGTTTGTATAGAAGGTTGTGTGTCTTCTTCTTTCCTAGGCTCTCGTTTTTATAGTCTTCAATGGCTTCTGACGTTGGGCTTGATCTTGCTGATCCCTTGATTTATTCAATCAGAATATTTTCTCCTTTGATTGAGTAGATACCAACGTAACTTCCTGATGAATTGTCTTGTTGATAGCCTCAAATATATTTCCAATTTGCTGATATTCTGGACTCCATGCCTTAAGCTCATTTGATTTCTTTCCTTGTGAAGTAGTCAATATTATTGTGTATCCATAAAATGAGATCTTCCCATTTGAAGTGTTGTCAATAAATGCACCAGTATATATTGAATCTTTCTTCCTTGAAAGAGCTTGGTGATTCTCTGCCTTTGATCTTCGAGATATAATTTCTTACTATAATATTCTAGTATGAATACTCCATATGTAGAGATCTTGTCCAAAACTTTAGGAAGCACTCTTCCATAATTCACAAGGTTCTTTTAGTAGGTCTTGAAAAATAATCTCTTTCCATAAGATAGATTTTACTATACCCATAATAAATTTTCTTTCCATAGAAAATATATTCTTCTCCCATTATATTGAAAATATTCCTTTCTTGATCTTGGAAGATAATATCTTTCCATAATATAAATTGTACTACATTCATAATTTATTTTCTTTCCATAGAAAATATATTCTTCCTTGGTCTTGTAGTATCTTTTCCATGTAGTATCTTCCTTCCATAAAATAATAGATCTTCTCCATGATTTTAGAAACTTTCCTTTTAAGAGCTTTCCATCCATAAGTTCCATAGATTTTTCATCTGATATTGTAGTAAGCCATTCAATATTTGAAATTTCACTTTCAAATATTATTCTTTCTATATTAAATCTCTGAAAATAATCTTCCTTGATGAATTCTTCACATGATATTCTCTTTCCCATATTTGTTTGGATCTTTACCAGCAATTTCTTTCCTGTACAAGAATAAGATTACCACAATTAAATGCTCTTTGATTAATAGTTATTTTGGTTTGTTATCATCAAAATTAATACGTGAAACCTTGAAGCTAACAGTCCCATCCCCATACCTATGTAACTAGTATATTTTTTATATTATACGGGGATTCCCTCCTATATAAAGGGGATCCCTACCATTATGTAAATGTCTGTTGCTCCAATTACCCCACATGAAATATAGAAGAACATACTCTTTTCTCTCTAACATACTATCTCGATATTGTTGTCCTTGTTTATTATCTTCATACTTGTTCTTCATTCATTGCTTATCATTGGCCATAAAGAGCCTTCACTATTTTGTTTTATAACTGTTAGCCCTTCCCCGATTACCCTTAATAGCTCGAGCCCGGGCCTAGGAATCGACCTCGAGGTCCCGTATCGATCAGTCCGAGGGCCCAATTGGCTAATTCATCGGTTTGATTATAACTCTATTTCAGCTCGTATTTCGTCTCTAAACTTCATACATATAGCATCATCCGCTTAAACAACTAGCATAAAAATAGATCACGTATTTTTAGAGTCCCATCGACAAATTTAATTGTTGTTACCATTTTCTCGGTAAACACATGACTCGATCTTCCGGGAACGATGTGCAACCATACAAACCAGAAATCGAGAAAAAACTACGACAGTTGAGGAAGGAAAGAAATCTCTCCGAGAAAATAGGGAAGGTTGGGCAATTCTCAAACAAAGAAAAGATGGCGGGAGATGATTGTAGATTTGGCTACGAGAGAGGCAGCCCAACTCAGAGAAAAAGCTGCTCGGGATGCTGAGGAAGCAACTATTAGAGATGTAGAAATTGGATATGAAGCAGAGAGGGTGGAGATGGGCTCAGAATCAGCCCTTGGATCTAGACCAGTTCGAAAACTTGGCTCCCAGGCAAGGGAGACCACTTGGCGATTATGCTAGACCGGTCTACAACCAAGGCTTATCCAGTGTGAGACCTCCACCAGTTGGAACCAATAATTTTGAATTGAAGCAAGGCTTGCTCCAAACCCTCCAAAATAGTTGTGTCTTCAGAGGAAAGATGAACGAAGATCAAAAAAATTATCCAATGGACTTCGAGGAGATCATGAACACCTTTCAATATAATGGTGTTTCACAAGATGCAGTTTACTTCACGGCATTCCCCTGCACTCTGAAAGATGGTGCGAAGCAATGGCTTCGAAGCTTGACCCAGGGATCAATTAGAACACGGGAGGAGATGACCAGAAAGTTTCTTGGTAAATATTTCTCCTCAGCTAAGACGGGCAAGTTTAGAAGAGAAATCCATAACTTCTGCCAGAACGAGACAGAAATTGTGTTTGAAGCATGGATAGGTTTAAGGAGATAGTGCGAAAGTGTCAACACAGTGTAGTTGAACTCTAGATGCAACTCCAGGACGTTTGGGATGGGTTGAGCAATACAGCTGGAGGTCCGTTGATGAAAAAGACTCCAAAGGAGATAGTTACTATTCTAGATGAGTTATCTGAAGATGCAAATCGGTGGCCCTCTTAGATTACTGAAAGAAGAAGATCAACTGGTGTTAACAAATTTTATACTAACACATCTGTGCAGGTACAACTTGATGCCATGGCAAAAGTACTAAGGAAGCTGACCTTAGCTTCTATACATAATGAGCCTCATGCAGCATGTGATATATGTGGAAGGAGATACCCTACTCATGAGTGTCAAGCTACCATGGAGGAAGTGAATGCTGTGGATAATTATAACATCAATGCAATAGGTCAAAAGCACCCCAGTTTTTTATGGAGTTCACATGGGGGTATTGCAAATGCTTGGCAACAAAACAACCCCAGATTTTATGGACAAGGAGCTCCAGGCTTCAAAAATAAGTTGATGCACCAATTTCAGCCTCAACGGCAAAATCAGCCTGGTTTAGAAGATCTAATGAAAGCTTTCATTGTAAACACAGATGAGAGGCTAGACGCTCACGTGGCAGCAATTCAAAATGTAGAGAAGCAAGTGGGACAAATAGCAACAATCTTATCTGAGAGAATCCCAAGTACTCTGCCTGCTGATACTGAGAGAAATCCCAAAGAAATGGTAAATGTTGTGACCTTGAGAAGCGGGCAAGTCTTTAAAGAACCCACTCCAATCCAAAAAGAGGTGCTATCTGAAAAAGAAAGTAGGGAGCAGTTGAAAATTGAAGATGATGAGAAGACTGAGAAAAAGAAAAGCAAGAAGGAAGCTGACAAAAAGAAGAAAGAGGAAACTTCAAGAAGGGAGGAATCTGATGATGTGAGCAAGCACATGCTTGCTCTACCTTTTCCCCAAAAGCTCTATAGAGAAAAGCTTGACAAGCAGTTTGAGAAATATCTTGACATGCTGAGACAAGTTAATGTAAACCTGCCATTCACTGATGTTGTCTCACAAATGCCAGCTTATGCAAAGTTCATGAAGGAGATCCTTACAAAGAAGAGAAAGATAGAAGAGACCAAGGCGGTCAAGCTCACAGAGCATTGTAGTGCAATCTTGCAAAACAAACTCCCACAAAAGTGTGGAGACCCAGGGAGTTTTACTATACCTTGCTCTTTAGGCACTCTTAATTTTGACAAGTCTTTATGTGATTCTGGTGCCTCAATTAACTTAATGCCATTGTCCATTTATAGGAAACTGGAGAAGGAGATTGGAGAGATAAGGTCGGTGCCAATATCTTTGCAACTGGCTGACCAAACAACTGTAACACCCGAGGGGATAGTAGAAGATGTTTTGCTGCGGGTGGATAAGTTCGTATTTCCTCTAGATTTCATAGTGGTGAATATGGAGGAGAACAAGGAGTCCTCCCTCTTCATAGGAAGACCATTTTAAGTAACGGGTAGAGCTATATTAGATATACATGATAGAAAACTCATGCCTAGTGTGGGTGAGGAGATGGTGACCTTTGAGACGAATGTAGCAACTTGAGTTAAAAAGGAGAGGCCAGCTGCAAGTGTTGAGTGGAAGGTGAATGGTGTGAACGAAAAGGCTCCGGTGATTGAAAAAGATAAGAGTGGGGTGTACCCCAAGAAGGCTGAGATGAAGTTGTCTGCATGGATGTGTGCACTAGTTCGGGCACGTGGAATGAGTCCTGACTTTTATCCAAACCCCGACTAGATATTCATGAAAGTTTCCTCTACCTTATGCTTTTTAATTGTATATCATCGGGACATGCCACAACTTAATGTGTGGGGTAGGGGATATTTGTATGTTGTATGCATATTAGTCATAGTTAGCTTGATTGTTTTTGCATTTGTTAGTTTGAGTAGTAGAAAAAAATTGGAAAAAAACATTAGAATTTTAAAATTTTTGATTTTTTCCGACGATGGATATCATTCGACGGGTTTCTTGAGGGACTAAAGTCGAAAGGAAAAGAAAAAAAAAGATTTTCTTTTGTAGGTAGTGTAATAATTCCTCCTTAGTTTTTATTTGTGCCGCGGTTCTTTTCCAAGGGTTTTGTATGAACCGGGTGTAGTTAGTTTTTATTTTGTAGGAGTAGAAGTAGTAAAACTTGTGCTATGATTTAAATTGAAGTAATATCTCTTAACTTGTTTAATAGTGAGTGCTTTAGTTGTGACACTTAAGCTCAATTTTTGACTCTTGCATAAGTACATTAATCTATATGATCTTGAATTTGTTTAACTGCTTTGACTAGATTGTCGTGATGAGTCCAATCTTGAGTGAGTCATGTGCCATTTGTATATGAGTTTGTGTTATTTTGTGCATTGCATTTGATGTATAGAACTTGCCCTGTGTGTTTGCAAAGCGAAATAGTAGTTTTATTCAGTCTTGGAAGTGATATAGGCGCTTCTTTGTTGAGCCAATGATATGTGTTTACCCACCTAATTGTTATGTATCTTAGTAACCCCTTTTGAGCCTGTAATCTTGTTTCTTTAGCAACCACATTACAAGACTTAACCATGTGTTTGAATTGACCATCTATTTGAACCTTGTACCTCTCTTGAGCACTTTAATATGATATGAACTTTGTAAAAGATGAAGTGTGAGGTGGTTGGTTTGGCTTTTGAGTGGAACTAATGAAATAAGAAGAAAGGTGCACTGCTTTGAAAATATAAGAGCCACTTGAATTGAAAAAGAAAAAAAGAAAAAAATATAATTGTATTGCTGTGAAAAATATTCATTGATAAGTGGTGACTCTTGATGTAATTGTGCTTAAATAATATTGGAGTTGATATATATTGATGTGAAGGTGGAGTATGGTTTGACATAAGTGTGGGTTTTGAATGTTAAAATGTATGTATTAAAGTGCTTAGGGAGGTGTAGTCACTCTTATATCTAAATGTATCCTACCCGTCCCGCAGCCTACATTACAACCAGTTAATGTCCTACTTGATCCTTAACTCAATGAACTCGATTAGTAGAGTAGTACACAACGGCAAGCCTATGGTTTATCTTTTGTGGCATAAAAATGATGTTTTTGACACTGAGTGAATTCTTTATATCTTGAGTTCCTAATTGTTCTTCAATTTGATTGTGTGTTGGAACTACTCTCGTTTGTTGTGTGAGGGCACTTGATTCATGAAGGAAAGGTAATGTCGTTGACCTCTATGTTAGAGTCAGTGAGTGAGTTGTGAATAATGCATGGTACATTTGAGTCAAATCTTGTGGTGAAGATGTTATACTATTGTGCTTAGTCTATTTTAAATATTTTTTGTGTAATGAGTTAGGAGAGTTGTTAAATAAGGTCGAGTCTTTATGAAGTGAGGTATGATTAATCGAGGACAAGCAATGGTTTATGTGTGGGGTGTTGATGGTAGGATATAATCTCGTGTTTTAGTCGCTTATTGCACGCTAATTTATTGCACTTTAATTGAGTTTGAGCTTTAATCGCTAGTGTTTTGCACTAATTGTGTGTTTTATGCCTTGTAGGAGGATTCCGAGCTATGTAGATATTACGAAATAAAATTGAGTGTTTTGGAGCTTTTAAGTCCGAGCAAAGGCCCAAGGGATTAAGCCAGGATCGCGTTCGGGGGTCGAAAACCATGTCCAGATATCAAAAAGTTAAGAAAAATCTGTACTCTGAGAATAAAACACTAGTGTGGTGCGTGGGACGGTGCGTGGGGCACTGCGCTTATGCAAATTTCATGCAGCCTATCATAACTAACTCTCTGAACTTCCTCACTTATGCCCCGCATGGCGCGTCGCCCCATGCCGCGCGCCTGTGCAATTTTTACAGAGCCGAAATTTTATTTCACATAGGAAAAGGTGTTTTCGTCTGAGCCCGACCCTACTTAGTATAAATACATGGAAAAACATTATTCTGAGAACTTTTGACACATCTTAGACCTAAGGAAGCTAAGCAGAAGGTGGAGAAGCAAAAGCGCAAGGATTTCATCATTCAATCCTCACTCAAGGCAAGAGTTTGGATCGCTTTATGTTTTCCTTTGATTCTAACATTGTTATGATGAATTTCTCCATATCTGTGGAGTATTTCCCTTTAGGGTTTGATGGATTTAGTTTATTGATACTTGTTTGTGGATAATTAACTCTAGTTTTATGTATTGAATAGTTTCGGATGTTTTAATCGTTGCATCTATATTCACTTGTTAATGTAATCGAGAGAGGCATAACTTGTGATATTTTTGCATTCTATTTTGTTGGTTGAATTCATTAATTCATATTAGTAATCGCAAGAGGCTAGTTGAATTGTTGATTAAACCTAGTTAGGAGTATAATCGAGAGAGGTTCTCCTAAAGACTAATCCAGTACGAATTCGTGCATATCTTCACGTGTTTAAAATTTGTTCATCTTGTGAGGTTGAGACTTAATCGAGAGAGGAGTTTCTACTAAACAATTGAATTAATAACCAAGTGAATTCTAGAGGCTCACTTGAACAGTAGAAGTGAATCAAGAGTTATATCCGAAACATTTGTCATGCACGTATCCTATCAACCCTATTTTCTCCCCATTGATATCTTCCTTTTCCTATTACTTGCGTTGTTTTTCATTAGTCAATAGTTTAGACTGTTAGTTAAATTTAGTTTAAATCACGTAATTCTCAATTGTTCATCATCTTGGATAGCAATCTAGCTAGAATTATGATAATACTATTTAACTCCAGTCCCTGTGGATACAATATTTTACTTTACTATATTCGATAGCAAGCATATTTAAATGTGTGTTTCCAGCTCGTCATATGGCAGGAATTTTGTGCTTCGTGAGCGTAGAGCATTGGATCACGATCGTGAATGGTATACATGGACAGACTATTTAAATTGAGATTTTAGGATTTTTGCTCATCCTCTCATATTATGAACCTTATACTTGGAGATGAGCGATTTTGAAAGATGATTTTCACACAAGGTAAGACGGTAAGTAATTTCTGGTTATCTATGTGATATTTGGCTTAAAGCGTGTAGATTTATATGCATGTTGCCTCACATTTTATTGTATTTTATGGAATTTGGATATGTAATGTAATGATTTATTCTAATTCGTCAAAATTCTATATGTAGGAGTCACAAGGAGGCAATATGGGACGAAGGTACACGAGTTGAAACAAAAAGGAACAAAAGAAGAAAATGGCAAAGTGCAGCGCATCACGCTGCCTGGGGCGCAACTTCCAAGTGCAAAAAGTTTCCAGCGCCAGGGCTAGTGCGATGCACTACCTTGGGCGCTGGGTATCGGGTTTTACTCCTATTTCGTTCAGGACAAGGTTTTCACGGCCCTACACACACCCCAACTCGTATAATAAAAATTCTAAACCAATTTTAGAGGGGGAGATGCCACTTTGAGAGGTAAACACAAGCACGGAACACTCGAGAACAAGGATTCTCAGCTTTTCTTCATCTTTCTTAGTATTTTCAACTATTCAACACTTATGAATTTTTCTAACTTTATTATTAGTGGCTAAGAACCTCACTATTCTGGGGTTATGAGTCATTATTGACAATAGTAGTTTGATGGTTGATTTTTACTTTGTTTATCATATTAATTTTCTTATTCAATCTTGCATTTAATTGTTCTATTGAATAGTTAACAATAGTGTACCATGTACGAATTTATAGCTAAACTCAAAAGTGGGAACTCTTGATTGCATATACGATTGAATAGAGTATGTTCTTAAATCCGGGCATCGAAAAATTGATTCGCGATTCGGATAGACATATTCTAGTTGTCTTGGTTATTTTCATAGGAAATTGTAATGACCTGATTGATCGTTTTGAGCAATTGCGTCCGACTAAGCAGTTTGAGGTCACGAGTAGCTTCACACAATGTATTATGACTTGCGTGCATCATTGGCTCGGGTTTTTGAGAGGCTCGAAAGGATTTTAGGGAGTGACTCTTATTTGAGAAGCTCGAAGCTGAAATAATTGAACAAGGTTTGACTTTTGAGTATTTGACCTCAGATTAGAGTTTTGATGGTTCCAATAGGCTCGGATAGTGATTTTGGACTTAGGTGTGCGTCAAGATTTGGATTTGGAGGTCCATAGGGTAATTTGAAGCGTTTCGGCTAAAATTGGAAAGTTGAAGTTTTGGAATTTGGATTTGGAGCGTGCGTCAAGATTTGGATATGGAGGTCCTAGCGTATCGATGATCGCGTAGTCTTTTCTCTGAGCGGATGATGATTTCTTTTTCGCGATGGTGTTCGAATTTACGCGATCGTGATGCTTGTTACCTGGGTAGAATATAAAAGTACTCCATTCCAAGGGTTAGCCATTTTTTTCATTTTTGGAGTTATAGAGCTCGATTTTGAGCGATTCTTCATGGGATTTTCAAGCAAAACATGGGTTAAGTGTTATTCACCTGAAAATTATTATAATCCATGATTCTATCTTTACTTTTATCTTATAATTAGTGTTTTGAGTTGA